CAGCAAATGCAATAACGTAAACAGAGTTTCTCGAATTGAAGTAATAGCTCGAGTACAGAGGATAAGAAGGAAAACAGTACACATAACCTAACCTTCTAACAACACCATATAAACAATTTCAGGACAAAACAAAGAACTAAGATACCTTAGTGATTGTCTTCCTATTTTTCATAAGTTTCTCCTTCTTAGCTTTAACCCTCTGCTCTTCTACAAGTAAGAATCTAAACTACATGAGTGTCCTCCGATAAGTAGAAGAGGTAAAGCAATCTAAACACCATTAAAGGAATAAACTTTGTTGTTCCAGTGACTAAAGAGATTGATTGATTGAAATACCTCAACGGTCCAGATGAAGAAATCAAGAGGCTCAAGTGGATGATCTCCACTCATTGTCTCCTCTACACAAAATTCTCAATACAATTCACCCATAGTCATCCTTTTAGTTTACACAAAAATCTCAAAATCAAAACATGAAATCGAAAATGAAAAAAAATATCTACTTGATTAGAAAGAAAACAAAAAAGATCCAAAATTTAACCTTCGATTCGAGTGAGTTTCTTGGAAAAAACATACAGAAGATAGAGAGATTGCAGATCGATTCTTGGTTGGAGCAAACATGCATCACCGGAGAAACTGGTTGCTTCTCATCCTCGTCTCAAGGAGAAGCGGCCATTACGAAGAGACAAGGAAAGAAACAAAAAGAAAAAAATAAATTTATGTTTGTTCTGGTGCTGACACATGGATTAGGCAGGTCGAGGTTTAGGCAGTGACTCGACAATTCGACGCCTTAAGGAGATAAACAAAAAATATCTCCCGGACATCATTTGCCTTTCAGAAACCAAGCAGCAGGATGATTGCATTAGAGATGTGGCTGCTCAGTTAGGTTTTATTAATTATGTAACAGTTCCTCCTAGAGGGCTCAGTGGTGGTTTAGTTATTTTCTGGCTTCAGCATATTCAGCTTTCTGTGTTAAGTGTTTCTCCTAATGTTATTGATTGTAAAGTTAGCAGTAATGAAAGAAGTTTCTATTACACGCTGGTCTATTGTCATCCTAATGCTTCTTTACGATCATATACATGGGAGAAAATTGAACGTATTGGTGTTACTAGAAGGAATGTCCCTTGGTTCTTGTTAGGAGATTTCAATGAATTGCTTGGGAATCACGAGAAGATTGGAGGTAATACCAGACCTGAAAGTTCGTTTGCAGAGTTTAGAACTTTGGTACGCAACAATGATCTCAGGGACATCAAAGCGACTGGTAATAGATTTTCGTGGGTTGGAAGACGTGGTATTCATCATATTCAATGTTGCCTTGATAGAACTATGGCAAATGGTGCTTGGATAGATATGTTTCCAACGGCCAATACGGAATTCTTGGATATCAATGAGTCTGATCATAGACCACTAGTATGCAGCTTTACGGATCAATTTGATGTATTGAGGAAGCCGTTTAGATTTGATGATAGGATGTGTAGAAAGGAAGGTTTTTCAGAATCTGTATTGAGAGGTTGGAAAGGTACAGGTCAGACACGGTTTTTGGAAACACCACTGTCGTCTAGATTGATCAGATGTCGTACTAATATCTCAAGATGGAAGAGAATGAATCGTTTCAATGCTGGAGATAATATACAAAGGCTGCGTGGTCAAATAGATAGAGATATCTCCAGTACTAATGCCTCTAACCAAGATGTCAATGTTTTGAGAGAAGAACTGGATCAAGCATATTTGGAGGAAGAAATTTTCTGGAAACAAAGAAGCAGAGTGATGTGGCTGCGAGCTGGTGACAAAAATACTACCTATTTTCACTCTATTACAAAAGCTCGTCGCAATAGACTTCTGTTGACTGCAATCCAAGATGGTTCGGGTAATACTCACAGAGGGCAAAAGGATATAGGCAAGGTTGCAGAAGAGTATTTCCAACAACTCTATTCTAATTCTGATATTGGGACAGATTTTAATGAGGTTTTCAATGGCTTTCAACCACGCGTGAATGATGAGATGAACAGAGACTTGATCAAGCCGGTTACCGTTGATGAGATCAAAGAAGCTATGTTTGAAATTGGCTCCCACAAAGCTCCTGGCCCAGATGGCTTCTCAGCCTCTTTTTATCATCAATATTGGGAAGATATCCAACCAGAGATTATCAAAGAAGTTACAAGATTCTTCACAAATGGACAGTTAGATGGCCAACTCAACCATACAAATCTCTGTCTCATCCCCAAAGTCTATCCACCAACAGAAATGTCTCAGTTTCGTCCGATATCACTTTGTAACGTCGCTTACAAAGTAATATCTAAAATATTAGTCAAGAGACTCAAAGTTCATCTTCATGAGCTTATAACAGAAAACCAAGCGGCCTTTATACCTGGAAGGATGATCACAGACAATGTCATCATTGCTCATGAAGTTTTTCACAGTTTAAAGGCTAGAAAGAGACAGGCTTCATCATACATGGCTATTAAAACGGATATCACCAAAGCGTATGACATATTACAATGGGGATTCTTAGAAGAGACGATGAAGCGTATGGGTTTCCATCCAAAATGGATCATGATGGTCATGTCTTGTATTACTTCAGTCACTTACTCAGTTCTTATTAATGGAGTTCCAGAAGGCCACATTATTCCAACAAGGGGTATAAGACAAGGAGATCCTCTTTCTCCCTATCTTTTTATTTTATGCGCAGAAGTTTTGTCACACATGATGAACATGGCCATGCAGAATCGTTCTCTCTTGGGAGTTAAAATATCTAACCAAGCTCCAGCAGTTAACCATTTGTTGTTTGCTGATGACTCTCTATTCTTCTCATTGGCTAATCCAAGAGCTGGAAAGAATTTAAAAAAGATCCTTCAAGATTATGAATCAGTCTCAGGTCAGGCAGTGAATTTGGCAAAATCTTCGATTACATTTGGAGCAAAAGTCCCAGCACATAGAAAGACAACAATGAGAAGCATTTTGGGTATCTATAATGAAGGAGGAATGGGGAAATATTTAGGTCTGCCAGAAAAATTTGGAAGTAAGAAAAGTGACATGTTTCGATACATAGTGGAGAAAGTCAAGGCAGTAACTCAAGGTTGGCATCAAAGATATCTGTCTCCAGGGGGTAAGGAAGTCTTGTTGAAAGCGATATCTCTGGCCATGCCTATCTATACTATGAATGTCTTTAAGCTAACAAAGGAGATATGTGAGGAAATCAATAATGTTTTAGCAAAATTCTGGTGGAGTTCTGGTGTGAAGAAAGGAATACATTGGATTTCTTGGCAGAGAATGTGTACTCCTAAAAGAGAAGGAGGTCTGGGATTCGGAGATTTAGAGAATTTTAACCAAGCTCTTCTTGGAAAACAAGTCTGGCGGATCTTACAAAACCCTGGCTGTCTTATGGCACGAGTCTTACGTGCTAGGTATTTCCCAGATGGTGATAATTTAAATGCAGTGCTAAAGAGGAAGGCATCTTATGCTTGGAAATCGATTATTCATGGAAGAGACCTTGTTAAGAAAGGAATGGGTTACATTGTGGGGAATGGTACTACTATATCGATGTGGACGGATCCTTGGCTACAAGAACATCCTCCTCGTCCCCCAAGGGCTCTTTCTTTAGAAATGGCAGATAATAAAGTGAAGGAATTCTTTTCAGAAGATGGGAGTGAATGGGATGTGAACAAATTGAGACAAGTGACTAGTGAGGAGGAAGTACAGAAGATTTTAAAGATCAAGATTACCTCAAGGGCACAACAAGATTTACTTGGTTGGCACTATAATGAGGATGGTATATATACTGTCAAGTCTGGTTACTGGTTGAGTACCCATCTACCGACCATTGATCAAGTTACCCCAATCCCGGGAAGTGTTATACTTAAGCAGCGTATTTGGAGAACAAGAGTTCCACCTAAACACAAGCACTTTATTTGGAGAATGACTTCAAAGATCTTACCAATAGGAGGTAACTTTATCAGAAGACATATATCGCAAGATGGTGTTTGTAAAAGATGTTGGGCTGCAACCGAAACAGAGGATCATCTGTTTTTTGGATGTGAATATGCAAAAGCAATATGGAGAGCTTCAGGTATATCAAATACTATTATTAATAACCAGATGGCATCTTTTGAGGAGAAGATAGAAGAATGTATAAGGTGTTCTACATCATCACGTTTACAACATCTACATGACTTGCCGATTTGGATATTATGGAGGATTTGGAAGAGCAGGAACATGCTTCTATTTCAAAATAGAGTCATCAACTGGAGAACAACTTTGAAACAAGCTTATGCTGATGCTAAAGAATGGTGGAGTAATAGTTTAAACATGGACGATACACATCATTCACCACCAAGTCATCAACAATATCGACAATGTAGAAGATGGAAAAGACCCCCTGCAACATGGATAAAATATAATGTAGATGGAGCTTATGATAATGAAGCTATTTTGGGGAAGGTTGGGTGGATTATACGTGATGAATTTGGCCACTATAAAGGAGCAGTTCAAGCTACAGGGAAACAGGTTAATAATGCTTTGGAAAGTGAAATGCAAGCAATATTAATGTCTCTCCAACATGCCTAGAGCAAGGGATATCAAAAGGTAATCATTGAAAATGATTGTCAAAAAGCAGTGGAGATTCTAAATAATAAAAAGTTGCACTTCCATTGCTATAATTGGAAACGAGAGATTCAGTGGTGGATAGACAAGATTCCAGAGGTAAAGATTGTATGGAGTGATCGTACTACAAACAAGGTTGCTGATAAATTGGCAAAAATGCAGTTTTATAATGCAAACACTTTCACGTTTCATTATTATGTTCCAAACTTTATTACTGATTTGTTGCATTCTGATTATGTAAACTCTAATTAAGGTAATAAAGATAAGTGTTATAAAAAAAAAAAAAAAAAAAAAAAAAAAAAAAAAA